CGAAGAGAGCACACTGTTACAGAAGTTGCTGGTGACAGTAAGCTGAAGAGGGCTTGAAAGTTTGGGGCTTTTCCTTTTTGAAGATAAGATCTGAATCCAAAATAATCTTGACAAGTTAGAGAAAATCTGTGAAATCAACAAGGTGAAATTCCGCACAGGCAAGCGTGAAGCACTGCGTTTAAGAGGGAAAAAGTCAAATGTATGAATGCAAAATAGGAGCTAAAGAGTCAAAAAATAAAGTGTCAGAAGAAGATCTGAAGATATAGAGGCCTCAAGTTAAATAGTAACGTTTTGATTCTGGAAGATAGTATCAGGCGTGTTGAGGCAATAGGAGATTCTGCAGTTTGGCAACTCTCCTGTGTATGGCTCGGTGCCTTCACACTCCTCACTGCTTTTTCCTCATGAACAGATGCAGACGAAGTGGAAATTCTTCTCCCTTTTTATTATTCTTTACTCCCATGGGATTAAAACCATCTTTATTTGTAATAAATATGATTTAGGTTGAATATTAGAAAAAGATTCTTTGTGATTATTAGGGTGATAAAATGCTGGAACGGACTRTCCAGAGGAACTAGGAAATCAGCTACCCTGGTAGTTAAACATTTGTCTAGATAGTCCTGGGCCTGTCTTTATGCTGAGTTAGGATTAGATGGTCTCTTGTGATCCATTCCAGCACTTTATGGGGACAGGACTCAGACTGGATAGCTTTTGGCTGCCCAGAAGAGATTATCCAAAATAGTTAAATCATGAAGTCCTTAAAGTGAATGAGGTGCTACTTCGAACATCCAAGTGCAGCTTTAACTGAGGGCAGTAAGGAGCAGAATTTATTTCTGACTTAAAGAAATATACTCTTATTTGGCTTCTAAAAAAGTGGTGTAACAAATCATGCCCGAATATCTGGGAGCTTCTGCATACAGTATGTGTCTGTCTTCTAATGATTGCTCTGGAAAAGCAGAGAATAAGATTGTGCTGGCACTGAGACAGCAGAAACCCCTTGATTACTGATCCRCAGTGGAAGAGCCCTGAGGAAAAATGGCACCCTAGAGATTACTTGCGTTTGTGCCTTTCTGCAGGCAAAGTTTACAAACTTGTAAATTTAAATGTAGAATTTTTGTAGGCAGAGTGCATTGACAAATATGCCTGATGGTAATACATCTCATACTGATGGTCTCAGAACAGTTCAATAATAATGCTTATATTGATAGCAGCAATGCAGGAGATGTTACTTGGTGTTATAGCTAAAATCCATGTTATCCTCTTAATCATAATTACATTAATATTGACAGGCTGTTGACAATACTCACATTACTATTGATAGATTTCTGTCAATAACATGTTTCCAAATAAAATATATTTATTCATAATTTGTACAATGCTCGATAACAGTAGTAATATATACCACAAGAAATTCCTATTTCCCCGGTGGTATACAGTAATTTGTTTTGTTGTACAGTACACTGTACAAGTGGAACTGTTGATGTGTTTAGTTTAAAATAAAACAGACAAAATACAGGTTATTTAAGAGAGAAAAAGGTCTTTTTTTCCCCTTGCTCTTCTTAATGCAGTTTCTGTTTTTCAGTATTTTGTCTTAAAATGCATTTGTGTTAACAAGCACACAGGAAGTTTGTCATTTATTCCTGCCTGATTTTTGACTGTTGAATTTTGATCTTACGAGTTAGGATTCGTGGCATTCTGAACTGAACATTAGTGTTTATCTTTTTTTCATTATTGATTCTACAGCTTAGTCTACAGTTGGTGAGTTTTAAAGAATTTTAAATTCACCAAATAAGAGAAGAAAATCAGTGAGGACTTGATAAAGCATTGGAGAAGAACAGCATTCTGTTTAATATCTGTATGGCAGAACAAAATATGGACTACATAATTAACTTTTAAAAGTATGATTGAGAGGTATCAACACTTATAGGCTTTACTTTTATTACCTAGTGTTGGAACAACAGACCTCTCAAGTGTTCCTATTGTAGGACCACTGTTTGTGGGAGGCAAAAAAAAAAAAAAAAAAGAGGACCTGAAAAAAAAAAATTGAAAAGCACTGAAAGGATTTTGTGAGAAAGAAAAAGGAAGCCATGTTTATTATCTGTTTAAGCAGTGGATATCATCAATAAGGAATGAAATGACTTCCTCATTATAGCAAAATATGGGAAGCTTACAATTTAGGTCTCTTCTCTCACAAGTAATTAGCCTTATTCACATYATGAGGACTTCCATCAGTATTATTTCTGGGAGAATATTGATTTCAAATTTTCCATTTTACTCTTTATCTATGGAAAAATAAGTAAGAGTGTATGTCACACGGAGAATCAACAACCAAATTGTTGATCMAAAAAAAAAAAAGAAAAAACTTAGCTGTGCTTACATAGGAATATTAGAAGCACAATTTAATTTTAAAAAGGTAAATATTAATAGATCTTACGTTTTTGTATGCTGTCCTTCCCTTTTCATATAGTCTGTCTGCCTCTCAATGACTACAAACTTAAATCAGTGTGAGAGTATTATAGTTGKTGGTTCAGGAAGCAGCATTAAATATGCACAGCTAAACAGCGTTTTCAGTGTTGAATCTAATATTAATAAGTGTTGAAAAAGACTTGCTATATTTTGAGAAAAATTGTAGACTGACAAGCAATGCTTGTGGTTCCCATATTTTTGCAAGTTAAAATTCTGTCCTACACCAATAGTCTTATTCAAGTTATTTCTTTCAAATAAATTTCTAAAAAGGGGCACAGACATGAAAGATATAGGAGGGGGGAGAGAGAGAGAGAGAGGGAGGCAGTGAGGTGGACTGAGAGCTGGCCAAATGGCAGAGTTCGGTGGGTTGTGCTCTGGGGTACACAGCCTGGGTGGACGCCTGTAGCCAGTGGTGCCCCACGAGAGTCAGTCCCAGGTCCAGCTGTGTTCAGTTTATTCATCAGTGACCTGGATGAAGGGACAAGGTGTCTCTTTGGCAAGTTTGCTGATGACACAAAGTAGGGAAGAGTGGCTGATACCTCAGAGGGCCGCACTGCCGTTCATAGGGACCTGGAGAGGCGAACAGGAAGAAACCTCATGAGGTTCAGCAAAGGGAAGTGCAAAGAACCCTGCAGAGACCTCTTCAGCTTTGTGAGGAGAAGACCGTGAGGAGAACTTACCCGCATGTTTTGGTAGTTGAAGAGAGGGAATAAAGAGGATGGGACCAATCTCTTTTCAGTGATGCTGAGCAAAAGGATAAGAGAAAATGGGCACAAACTGAACACAGAAGTTCCATCTGAACGTGAGGAAAAGCTTTATTACTGTTAGKGTAGCAGAGCACTGGAAGAGGTTGTCCAGAGAGGGCATAGAGTTTGGATGCTTAATATTTCAAAAGCCACCTGGATAAGGTCCTGGGTGCTGTGCTGTAGGTGGCCCTGCTTGAGCAGGGAAGTTGGATGAGATGGTCTCCAGATGTTCCTTCCAACCTCAGCTGTTCTGTGATTCTGTAATAATTGTTGTATACATTTAAATTGGAAGGTCAAGATCAGAAGGAAGATATGGATGTTGCCTAGTCCATCTTTTTGTAAAATTTGGGGATAAGTTCAATGCTAGAACAGGTAGCTTAGGACTTTGGTCAAGTTTTAGGAATATTCAAGGATGAAGATTTTGCAGCCTCTTTGGGCAAGCTGCTCCGGTWCTTAATCACTTCCATTATGAGTTTGATTTTTGTTTGTTTTTGTTTTTCCAACTGGAATTTCTAAAGTTACTTCTCTTGTTTGGCCGAATTTTCTCTGTAACTCACCTTTAAGAAGTGAAAGGTCTTCGTTAGATCACATCTTAACCTTCACATCTCCAATTATTTGATCCCAGTTGTGTAAGGGAAGGGATCTTCATATGTCACTGGATCCCCCTAATGATCTTAGGGGCTGGTTTGTGTTCAGGGTTGACATTTCTCTTGTACTTTTAGTGGGGAAAGGACAAATCCAGTTTTGTGGAGGGTTAGCAGTGCTAATGCCATAGCATGTAGTTGTACCACAACCACAGGAAGGATCCTGTAGAGCATCTTTAGTTTGAAGCAGTCTTGTGTTACAGCAGCTTTTCCTCTTATAAAGAAGAATCTGAAGTATCTCCTTCTGTACTGTCTCCCAAATGCTGTTGACMTTTACTTGTCTGTTATGCGAAGAATCCAGTTTAGAAGCTGATATCTGGTGCAGTTCTTGTGTAATCGCTTCTCTTAGTAATCTTTTTTTTCTTAATATAGACAAGAACAACCAAAAATCAGTTATCCCACCATCATGCGTCACTAAGATGCTACCTCTTTTTTGCAGTTTATTTCATTTATTTTCTTATTCACAGAATTCCAGGTTTAATGSCATTTAAACTAAGCAATATTTTTAAATAATTTTACTGTGCTCTGTAATCCTTGAACAAGAAGAGTATTCATTGAGGTTTCTAGTACACATGAATCTGGAATTTATTATAAGGAAAGTTTCACAATCCTGCACATCAACAAACTCCAGAAAATCTTCAGGCTTCAGTAATGTACTATATGATATATTATGTCTGAATGCTGAATATTTCTTTAATTTTGTGTAGTAATTCTTTATAAATTTTTACCTTTAATATTTTTGTCATTTCTGCTTTATTTTTAGCCACATTTTTCTATTTCCCAGATTTTTCTCATGAAACAGCTTACAACTTTAAAATCTTGTTCTCTTTCTTTTTAAGACGTGATTTGGATATTAAAATTATGTCCATGAATTTATTAATTTTCATTGTGAAATCTTTGAAGTTTTATGAATATCTAGAAGAGGTTAAAGACTTCTCTATAACCAAATGAATGTGTTAGTGATTTGGAGAAATACACTAATGAAAGCTCTTTTAAGATGAAATGTTTGAATTGGTAACATGAAGCTTATTGAAAGGGGTCCTGATAGCACATTAATATCCAAAAAAGCTTTCTTGGGCTTTTTTTTTTTTGTTTGTTTTGTTTTTTGGTGTACCACAAGTTTCTGTTCTGTAATAAGAATAAAAATGTGAAATGCCCTTAAAACTATAATCTCTTTGTATTTATTCCTAGAGATTTTTTTTGAAGACATGGCCTCCAGCACTGGCAATGAAAAGAGTGTGAATCCTGTGCTCAGAATAAGTCAGCTTGACGCTCTGGAACTAAACAAAGCCCTGGAACAACTAGTATGGTCCCAATTTACCAGCTGTTTCCATGGATTTAAACCAGGGATTTTGGCTCATCTCGAACCAGAAGTAAAAGCATTTTTATGGCTTTTAATGTGGAGGTTCACTGTCTGTTCCAAGAATGCAACTGTTGGACAGGCTATTCTGAATATTCAGTACAAGAATAACTTATCTCAGACAGAGAAATACCAACCCCCGAGCAAACAGCAGAAGTTGTGGTATCTTATTCTCACTGTTGGTGGACGGTGGTTGGAAGAAAGATGTTTTGACTTATTCAGCAATCGTCAGCTGGAATCTTTCTGCARAATTAAACACTGTATTAACTTTGGAGCTGGGCTTCTTAAACTCTGTGGACTATTAAATTTTCTGATCTTTCTTCAGAAAGGAACATTTGCAACCCTAACAGAACGTATTCTAGGCATCAGATCAGTTTTTTGCAAGCCTCAAAGTGCTCGTCAGATAGGATTTGAATACATGAACAGGGAGCTCTTATGGCATGGCTTTGCTGAGTTTCTGATCTACCTACTACCACTTATTAATGTCCAGAAACTGAAACACAAACTTTCTTCTTGGGCTTTGCCTATTACAGCTCTTTCCAATAGTGAAAATACGTTAACAGCTGCTTGCAAGGAGTGTTCGTTATGTGGGGAGTGGGCAACCATGCCTCACACCATAGGCTGCTCACATGTCTTTTGTTACTACTGCATTAAAAGCAACTACTTGTTTGACATGTATTTTACTTGTCCTAAGTGTGGCTCAGAGGTACAGAGTATTCAGCCACTGAAGTATAGAATAGAAATGACAGAATTGCATACCTGATGGAGGACTTGATTCGTTTTTACAGTGTATATGAACTACCACATTAGAGATGAAAGGAGAAAATCAGAAATTATTTTCAATAGACAGCTTGAAAGATGTTTTTGGAAATTCTCTGATTTGTTGTAACATATCAYGTATTTACTGGTATTAAGYTTTTTTTTTTTTTTTTTTAAGAAGTAACTACCAACTTGCCTCTCTTAAGAAATCAAAAGAGAGAAGGTTGCCTGGTTGTCTTCCCTCTCTGACTACGTCATTCCTGTTTGGGGCGTCCTATATTGAAGCTATCATTCTTGGATACAGAGCCTGGCAGCATGCTACTTCCTGGGCATGCCTCATTCTTCCCTCAGGCTGAGAGGAGGAGGTGCCCAAGGAACCTTTTTTCATTTGGTGATTTTTTATTTTATTTTTTTTTCCTCTGTTGTGTTGTACAAACCCAGTACTTACTAGCTAATGGATGGATTTAGCGCAGAAGGTGCCCATGCCTAAGGAACATTTTTTTAGCCATGTCTAGAGAATAATTTTACATTGATTACAATTATGATGTTTCACTGGAATAATAAAAAAAAAAAAAGTGCAAATGACATGTCATCTCAGTAGATTGTTGAAAGTTTTCAGTGGATCTGGCCCCTATAATCAACAGATCATAAGCTCTAAGTGATTTGTTGTTAGAAAACAGATTCTTTGTAGATAAATTATTACAAGAGACATAGTCATTGCCTACTCAAATACAAAGCACCTTCTGGATCTTACATTTTCTCACTTAGCTGTATTCCTGCAGACTTTGGTGGGGACAGACACCAGTCTGTCACCCACCGTCATGTTTTACCTGCGCTCTTCTGCTCTTGCCTCTGTAAAGATGGAACCTGCAGTCTCCCAAGTCAGAGGTTAGGCAAAAAACTGCTCGCTAAGAAGATGCTGTCGTGGGGATTTGTCACACTTCTGTGGTGTGGTCAATAGGGTGCCGAATGCACAAGCAGCTCACACAGAAAATGTTCGTATTTTTTAATAAATAAAATAGCTCTTTTTGCTGAAATTACTATTTGTTTTGCTTGTTGRCTTTGCAGTGGTTTTATTATTCACAGATCTCTGGCCTATTTTTTTTAAGTGACTTTGGGTTTTCTGTTTGTTCACCAAAWTTTTKTTTTTTTTCTTTTTTAACAGGGAATCCTATCCTGCAGTCTCATTAAAACAAAAGTCCACTTAATCCTTTTTATGATTTTTAAAACATTCTTAAAAATCTTAGACATTTAAATTGAATAAATCATTTTATGATAACCAGGTTCTTGGTTGGCTATCTTCAATAGTCAGTTCCAAAGATAGTATGGTAACAACCCCTCCTGTACATTTGATCTCCTTTTGCAAAATATAATAAAACATTTTTCAGTGTCTGATTAAAAAAATGCTCCAGTCTGTTTGTGAAGATCTTAAATTCTATTTTTTGATCTTTAGAGTGACACATAACTCTTTCATCTAATGCAATTAAATATAGTTAGTGGGATCGTAAGTTTCTTTGGGCAGCCCAAAACTTCATTAATTCTGCTGCTACTGAATSAATAGTGACTTCAGAGCAACTGCTTCCAGTTAATGTGTAGCATAATATATGATTTGCCAGCGTGCAGCAGCAACCTGCCACAGCACTGTGCTCACAATTGCTGTTTGAACCAGCAGGTACAAGTGTATCTTCCTTAGAAATATCAAAGCTAGAAGGTCCATTGGAGAATATCTTGGAAGCAGGATATAGTTGTTTATGAAATCAGAGAATGGTTGAGGCTGAAAGGGACCTCTAGAGATCATCTCCTCCCTCCAGCAGGGACACCCAGACYATGGGGCACAGGGCGGCATCCAGGCAGGTCTGGAAGACCTCCAGAAAAGGAGACTCCACAGCCTCCCTGGGCTGCCTGTGCCAGGGCTCTGTCACCCTCACAGTGAAGAAGTTCCTCCTTACATGGAGATGGAACTTCCTGTGTTTCAGCCTACACCAATTGCCCCTTGTCCTGTCACTGGCCAGCACAGAGAGTTGACTGTGCGTGCCACATCATAGCTCTTCCCAAAGCAATGTAAAGGCATTCTTGACTTGGAGGATGGTCTCACRTCTTCAGAAAGGTTTATCATCATGACTACTACCTCTCTTTGTTTAGCTATCAATTAAGAGTTGCACACATCCAAAAGCCAGTGTTTGGTGGTAATTATCGCGTAAGACCTTTGTTTTCAGTGTTGTGTCCAAAGTGCCTGAATTACCTGTACATAGGAGTCATATTCCTCTTATATAGGAGTTGACTTTTTCTCCTGTTTAGTAATACTTCATTTTTGTGAATATTTAAAGAGTGATTTGTTTGTCTTTCTTGCTTCACGTCTTCCTGCCCTACTGTTTGCTTTATCTAAACTTTATCAATTTGAGGTGGATTGATTTGCTCCTTGGAAATCCTAACAATGTCATAACTCCATTTTTTGTTTCTGCTACAGTATCAGTATAAGACCTGCTGCTGCTAGTGCTTTCCTCTTTAAAATTCTGTTTGTTGAAGCTATTTTCTGTGAGCTGTGGTGTTCTGATACTATTGTCTTCCCTGTGTTTCTTCTGTGGCCACAGTTTTTATTATTTAACCGATAATGGGTTGATACTGCACGGGGTAGCCCTTACTACAGCAGTACTTAATTAGAGCATTAGATTTGTAGCATTGACCAAGCTTGTGAACTCTCATGGCCCAAGAAGGACAGCATGAACTAGCCTGAGATCCTTCCTCTACAGATTGCCTTCAGTTTTGTCTTCAGATTCCTCCCAGGACTCATGTGATTCTCCTAGACTGGCCTAGACTAAAGATCCAATATCCATTAAGAATAGCTCATAATATTTCTAGTCCCTTAACTCATCTTCCAGAGATTTATAAAGTTGTTTCTATTTTTCCTAAGATTGTGTCTTGCSTTTGGTTTTAGTGCACTGGTACCTGTCCAGAACTGTTTGTTCTTGGTTCTTGCTTGTAACAGCTCTCTCAAAATCCAGAACCTACCTGGCTGTTATGTCCTGATCCCAAGTGCATGCATTTCAGAACCTCAAAACTGCAGAATATCATACAAATGTTCTGTATCATTTAACTACAGTCATAGGAAGCTTATGGTATGCTGAGGGAGATACTGATACAYGTACTGTTTTCATAATTTTTTTAGATTTGAAGACAATAAAAACATTTAAAGCTACTTTCAAGCCAAGACACTTGTTAATAGTCATAATAAAGCCTTACATCTGAACAATAAGGGGAGCTGTGATACAGGAGAATGTTACCTAAACMTAAACCATATTCACTGGCTTGTGTATTTTTGTAAAAATCATGTGTTCTGTTTAACAGCATAGTTGTTACAGCTGTGTGGTATTCGTTTYGCATTCATGCAGTTACCTGCCTCAAAAAGAAGAATGCTGTGTCAGGGTACTCRGTGAATATCCTACACATGAGGAATACTGGAATATTCCCAAGCACCTTTTGAGGGCAAAATGGCAGAGTTCGATGAAACTACCCAAAATATTCTGTCATATGCCCTAGCTTGCGGACACTTACTGATAACCTGACATAGCATCTCACTGAGAGATCTCGCCTAAGTTACCTTCCAGAACAAGTCTGCAAAGGAAATAGTCCCACCCAGCATCTCTGATTTGCAGGTGCAGTTGGGAAGGTTTGTTCTGGAGTAATGAAAACTGTGGCAAGGGCCCTTCTCAAGGTTACAGTGTCTTAAAACAGAATAAAAAAAAAAGTTGTCTTCAAGGATCAGTGGAAGGTTTTTTTGGTAAATATGCCTGATTCGCAAACGGGATTTCTATCCTGCCTTATGTACCTAGCTCCCATTTTGCTGGCAGGCCAGAGACAGGGTTCACAAAGAGTCTGCTTTCTACACTCAGAGCCAGGCCAGTATCTGGGGCTGTGAAACCAGGAAGGTGCTTATTGCAACTGCGAAAGTCAGTAGTGTTTGGGACCGTGTTAAATCTGTGAATTTTTATTGGAATTTATATTAGCATATAAAACTTTTAGCAAACTTTTTGCAGKTTTTTTTTGCAAGCTTTAAAGCTTACTGCATCTTAAAGCAGGTCCACTGCTTGCCACGTGATCACTCAAAGAATCCCATTTGCTTCATGCTCAGTCTTAATGAAAGTCATGGCTGGACCTGGTGCAGCAAGGTGGGCAATGTGATGAGCGTGCTGCATACTCATACCCAGTCCGTCCTTGGTGATCTCCATCTTATTTTGATGTACCCAGGCAGAAGCTGAATGTCTGACTGAGCAAACTATGTGCAACCTGGTTATCTGAGTAGACCCGTGGGGCCCGTGACAAGCAGTGTTGATGGTGCAGTAAGTACCCAGAAGCTAACTGTGCTTTTGTGAGAATACCTTGATGGAAAGAAAGTACCAATCTGCTTGTATGCAAATTGTTAATTATATAAGTGCCTAGTGCAGGCAATTGTTTTATCTCTGAAATCAGAAAGCCTGATTAGAAATAGTCTGATTGATATGGCCACATTTTCTGTTAACTCCATATTCTCTAATACAAGTTCCTACTAAAACCGTGTGTCTCATGGCTTGCCCCACATAGTAAAGCCACCTTCAAAGCATGATTCAAAGCATAGTTGAAACATGAACTCAACATGACCTGATCACATCTGGTCAGTATCTGTGATGACTTCTAGCTTCACCCCATTTTCTTCCATACTGACACAAAGGAGTGGGGTTGGACTAGACTAGAAGRACTTGTGTTAGACACAGGAATCAGACTTCTAATGTGCTGGTGTTTCAGGATAGATGCCTGAGGGTGTCAAACAGGGCGCTCTCTGTATGCAAGTTTTGCACACACTGCTGTTCCTTCCATGCACAGAGGATAATAGAGTCCCATGCAGTGACAGTGGATGGTTCCAAAACCAATGTTTGAATGGCCGGAGCATGCTCCAAATATGAAATTGAGATGGACAATTAAACAAGTGGCACAGTTTCTGTTGTATACATGTGGAAAACAGAACTGAATAAGTAACATTTGGCCATCTATTTGGCCATTGCAGAAAGTGTAGATGGCCCTGCAGCAAGGCTTCTCTACTGTATCGTATCCAGAATCCCAGKCACAGCAGCAGCACTGTGTAACCACTTCAAAAGTGATAGATAGATGTGTGGTAAGGCACAGAGGAATACAGGTTACCTATTGCACACTTGCTCAGTGTTGCTAAAATTAAAATAAATGCATGGAAGGCCTGTACATCAGCAGTGCTTGCATACCAAAATATATGTCAAGACAGTGAAAAAGAAACCTAAAGAAAACAGTACTTAAACTTTTTCTCCCACGCAGCAAACGTGACTTTTGCTAAAGAGATGCAAAATGTATTAGTCATTAAAAATATATATTTGTGCCTTCCCAATCACCTACAGCTATTCCTGGAAACATTTGGCAGAATACAAAAAGAAATTACAGTCAAGCAATGACGTCTTTTACTGAAAAATGTCAAACTAATGAAAAAAAAATTAGTAGCAGTCAAATTCAACTCCCATTCCTAACTCCCTATTTCTGAATAAAATAATTATTTCAGTTAAATTCTCAAAGYTAGTTTCATGAATTAGTACGCAGGCATACAACTGACAGATTTAAGACATATTTGATTGTGAAAAGTATTTTCTCTTATTCAGATGGTCAGTTCTTATCAGCAAGTTATTGGTTAACTTTTAACTCTTGATGCTTAAAAGAGCATTTTAGCTTCTCTCAAAGAGATATTTTTCTCTCAAAGAATTGAGAGTTCTTTTTTGTCATACATAGAATAGGTTCTTCTGAAATACAATTTTCTCATATAGTCAAGCCATAATTTTCTCAAAAAGAATAAAGCAAGGCTCTTTGAAATGCAACATATATCTTTCTTGCAAACCCAGCAAGCTGATATATAGTACAAGTGAAGGGACTATATGCAAAGAAGAGTGGGTACTTGGTTGCCCATGATTACA